GCATGCCGGCAGACCTGGCCGTCTGTCTCAGGTGAAGCTGCCAAGTTAGCTGCGCGTCAATCAGTTGCTTCCTCTGGTAAGCGCAGGATGCTCTTTATCCCAAAGTGCAGTTGAAGTTAAAGCTTAGTGCCGTGTGGCTTGTCGCTTGCATTGTGGTGGTGCTGCTCAATTGTCTAAGGAGCCCCGCCGGTCGCGCTTCGTGTGGTGTTGTGGTTCTGGCTCCGGGCATGGGCTCTTGGCTGCGGCGTTGCTTTGGTGATTTCAGACATTTGGGAAGGAGGGTGCCCTCCTTCCCCTGCAACGGTGTCAGCAGTTTGCAGCCAAAACGTGTCCGCCCATGCCCTATGCATGCGTAGTTGGGTAGGCACTGAGGGTTGGTCTGTCTGCGCTGGGGTAGGTTGGGACAATGGCCAGCGCATACAGCAAACCCTCAAACCTAGTCCACGTAGCATGCTCCCTGCTTCTTGCCTTTTGTTGCTTCAGGCCCTCGCTTGTGTCAGGTCAGATTGATACTTATTGACATCTCAATTTCGAGACTCCCGCCCGCCCGCCCCAGATGGGGGAAGTGGGCCGCGGCGGCTTCAGCTTTGCTTTCGGCCCATCGGCCCGGTGATTTCAGACATTTGGGAAGGAGGGTGCCCTCCTTCCCCTGCAACGGTGTCAGCAGTTTGCAGCCAAAACGTGTCCGCCCATGCCCTATGCATGCGTAGTTGGGTAGGCACTGAGGGTTCAGAGGTGTCCAGAACCCGATGTCTTGTCGGGCTGAGGGTATCGAGGGTAGGTGCTACTACGTTTCAGATAGACCCTCCATCTACTCGCCATTAGACCCTAAATGTCCATTTCTTGGGGCCATATACCCCTATTTGAGGGCACAAGGAGGGTCCTGGTAAGTACCTTGAGGCATGGGAATTGATGCTACTTTCCTTCGTATGAATAATGCAGGGCTGTGTCCATCATCGTCCGGCTTGTCGGATGCGTGGTGAGTAGCCTTACGGTGTTTGAGAAACCCTCCCCATCCCCTCTCCCTCCCATTGAATGTGCTAAACCCTAAACTTAAAAACCCTAGTAAGCAGCGACTTTTCTGGGCTTTGGAGTACCATACTTTAATACTTTTTTCTTAATGGAACCATTATGAAATAAAAGTTTATACATTTTTCTCCCTGGTTACTTAAAAGCCCAGTTTTTTTGTCATTACCCATTATAAGGAATATACCATAGTTTAGAGTCCTTAGGGTCATGCAGGATTTTGTCCATCAGCAGTAGTAAGCAGCGACCTTTTGTGTCATGAAATTCAGGCCCAGGCACTTCTTCGAACCCCCCTTGGAGCTTCCCAGCCGCCATTCCCCGCGACGCCGCAAATCCTGAGACCCTGAAGTCCCGAACTTGCAGGGTTTAGGGTTTGGGGGTTTAGGGGGGTTTAGGGTTTAGGGTTTAGGGTTTGGGGGTTTGGGGTTTAGGGTTTAGGGTTTGGGGGTTTAGGGAGGTTTAGGGGGGTTTGGGGTTTAGGGTTTAGGGTTTGGGGGTTTAGGGAGGTTTAGGGGGGTTTAGGGTTTAGGGTTTGGGGGTTTAGGGAGGTTTAGGGAGGTTTAGGGGGGTTTGGGGTTTAGGGTTTGGGGGTTTAGGGAGGTTTAGGGGGGTTTGGGGTTTAGGGTTTGGGGGTTTAGGGGGGTTTGGGGTTCAGGGTTTCCGTAGTTACAAAGCCCTGAAGCCCCAAGTTGCCCTAAGTTGATCATATGAAGCTCTGACGGCCGAAATGCCATCCCACGACCTGAACCCCGAAGTCAGCAACTCCAACTTTAATGCCGCAACTTTAATGCCGCACAGAAACCCCCGAAGCCCCACCCCCACGGAGAAGAGCTCCTGAAAGTTCGGCCCCACCATACCTTGAACAGGGGTGTACACATAAATACTCCGCCCCCTGAAACCCTAAACCCTAAACCGATGTTGCAGCCCAACCAGACCCTGATTGCGGTTTTCGAAGCTGAAAGACGCGAAGCAGAGCCGGAAACCACGGACTATGCCCCAAAAATCTAAATCCCAGTAGGGTTCAGCTTCCCTATGCTGACCTTTGAAGATTGATGTCTGAACCGGGGCAGACTTGTCATGTGATGTAAGAAATACACGACATGTGCATCATATATGGGTGGTTGACTTTTTGGGTCCTTAACATAATACGGCACCTAATATTTAGGGTACCCAATTAGGGACCATAATTTTGACAACTACCCATATATGGGTCCTGACTTCTACGCCTCCAAGCCCCGAGCCTAGAACTTCACATCCCGGAGGTTCCCAAAGCTCACGCTAAAGGGTTTCGGGTTTAGGGTTGGGGTAGTGCTTAGGCTAGAATTCAGGAAGTGGGCTTCTTCGTTCAGGCATAGTGAATCCTATGAAGGGTTCCAAACAGATTCAATATTGACTCTTTAAGACACTCTGATGGGAGCCCCCTTGAGGAATCCTCGATTATTGAGGGGATGCGGGTTTAGGGTTTAGATTGACTCAAGGTTTAGGGTTAAGGGGTTTAGGGTTTATATTGAAAGGTTTTGGACTTCAGGGTTCAGAGGTGGGTCGGGCGCCGAGCTAGGAGGTTCATGGCTAATTTGAAGTAAGTAGGATACCTATAGCTATGGACCCTACTAGCGACTTGTAACCCGACGTATAACAGCCATTACACCTTAAACCCTAGACCCCATAGAATCCTACTTGTAACCTTACCTATATTGTGGGTAGTTATAATAACTACCCATGGACCTCCAAACCCCCCCTTGCCACGCAGATCTCGCCCGGCTGCTTCAGAACGAGCCCATTTGGACGCGGCTCCTCAGCAAACGCTGGCTGGGTGCGCCAGGCACGGCCGCATGCTTTGCTTACGAGGTCGAGCTTTAGGGGTCTAGAGGTATGGGTTTCAGCTTCAATGTTTCAGCTTGCTCAACTAAACACCTAAACCGCTAATTTTCGGCTAGGTGAAGTTTTGCAACAGTCCTGATAGCAAGACCTTGAGTGCAGAAGGCTAGCACTCAGAATCGCCACTATGGTTCATTCCCCGAGCTTCCTGTGCCTTAACCAGCTAATACAGGGCCTAGATAATTACCTATACTATTTTGGGAGTTCCTTATTATATTTATAGTATCATGGGCCCCAAAACCCTAGTCTAATTATTAAGGCCCCTATAGCAGGGTTCAGGGATCAGGTTCAGGGCTCTGAGCACATGCTACTCAGGTTTCTTAGATATGCATCGTGGCTGAGACCGTTCCGCCTTCTCTTCCTACTTGGAGGATCATGGGACTTAGTAACTCGAGTTATGATTAGGGTCGTCATACTTATACCTACTTAAAACCCCAATTAGAGTACTTATAACCTTACTTACTAAGTCACATGATCCTCCTTATAAAGCTCTTTATAGAAACCCTATAACTCCCTTATAGATCCCTTTTAACGAAACCTTTCAGGAACCTTCCTTACTAAGTCCCACGACCCTCCAAGTAGATGCTAAACTCCAAAGGCTGCCTCTGCCTCTCCATCAGGCTGCAAAGCCAAAGCCTGAAGCCTAAAGCTTAAACCCCGAAAGCCCCTAAACCCTAAACCCCTAACCCTAAACCCCTAAGCCCTAAACCCTAAGCCCATAAACCCTAAAGCCTGAACCCTACCTGTGGCGCAAAAGACCGAAGTGTATACAGACACCATAACAAGGATCCCTAAGAAAGGGTAGGTCTTTTCGGCCACAGGTAAGCCCTAAGACCTAAATCCTGAGCCTGATTTCCTTTCTCCTTTAAGCCCGACCAGACAGGGAAGCCCATTTTGGCCAGGGTTGGCATGGATGACTAGGGTTACGGTTCAGGATTGAGGGTTTAGGGTCTTAGTGTTCAGGGGTTTAAGGTTTAGGGTTTATAGGGTTGGAACTATCCTCGTGGAAGCACTTCTAAGTACTTCTACGGCTAAGGGTTAGTTTGAGTTTAGGGTGTGATTACCCCTCACGTTTCTGCGCGAATGTCGAAGCCCAACACCCAAACTCCAACAACCCTATACCTTAAATAAATCAGGGTTCGGATTTCAGGAAATGGAGGATCCGAATATAAAACGCGTAGTAGCAGGATCCTTATAGAAAGGTACACCTAATTCGAGAACTCCCCCACTCAACTGGACCGTCGGCCAGGCATCAACGAGTGCCCGCTTTACAACACACAGCAGACCGGGATGAAGATGCTCAAGGTAGGGCCCAGGGCTTTATGGATCTTTTCCGGGGGTGCTGGAAGGTTTCGGGCTTTATATGGGTAGTTCTCTACACTCGGGTCCCTTCTTCGGTCCGCCAACTTAGTACGGCACTCTTACAAAAAGGGCCTTAAAAGGGGACCCGATAATTTACCACATATACGCTGGTTTCAGAGGCTTGCAGAAGGGGTCCAGGATATCGGGGTGAAGTGGAAGGCTACCGAGTCGCGGGGGGGCTCTGGGTTCTTTACGGGCCCCTTCGGGTTCCCAAAGGGCCCTTGGGGTTTAGTTTAGGGTTTAGGGGTTCAGGGTTTAGGGTTTCAGGGTTGCTTAAAGGGTCCTTAGGGTTTAGGGTCGTCTTTCCCATGCCACTTGGACGCCTGAAATCTGCGAGTCTGGTGCAGCACCTTTGATTTGCTCAATTCAAACATCAGGTTTCCCGGACTGTGCGCAAGAGCACAGGGCCGTTACATGACTACATCCGAGTTTCCAGCGATGCGCTTTGCTTGCTTCATTGCCCTCATCTTCACAGTTCCTGTGGAGAGTGCTCGAGGTGCTCTTCGGCAGCAGATGTCAACGGGAGGCACTCTCGACTACGATGATGTCTGCTGCTGCAAGCGGCACGCTGAGGTGGGGAAGACGCTTCGAAGGCCTGGACACACGAAGGGCATGGAGCGCTCGCATTGCCAGGCATTGAAGCAGACGAGGCCGGAGATCGACCCTTCTGGTGGCACTTTGGAACAGAGCCGGGATCCGAGAAACGATGCTGCTGGACGAGCAAGCATAACTGCATGCCTACCATCGGTTTTCTCTCGCTGAACGACGATGGCGGAAGACGAATCGATGATGAAGACCGCGAGGGCCTTTGCCAGACTGCTACAACTCCCGATGGAGACGTGGATCCAGTCGACAAGACCTTTGCTTTCAACGAGATAGTGCAGTCCCTTTACAGCGAAATCGGTGACATCATTCAAAGCAAAGTTTGTGAGATTGCAATGGGCGCTGCAGCCGCACACGGCCCCGGGCTTGTTGGACAATGTGCTGGGGCCTTTGTAGCAGCAGACGATCTCCAAAGAGCCAGCCAAATTTTGTTGCGAAAGGCTTTTGACGGCGCCGTGGGCCGCCATCTTGCGTCGTCCAAGCACCAAATTATGCCCCCGACGGAATGGTTTCGCTACGGTGGTGATAGGCCCCTCGAGGTCGCAAAATCAGTGCATGCGTTTAACGGGAAGAAATTCCCAAACATGAGGTATTGGTTCCACCCCGAGCTTCAAGAAGATGGGCACGTGGTGATCGTCTTCCAGGATCCCAACACCTACGTGCCTCCGGACAAGCGGCCTCCGACGAGTACCTCCGAGCAGGGTTTCTGCGGGCAGGATGCGCTGAACTTTGAGAAGGTCTGCGTCCAGACGAATGAAGCCGGCGAGCTCGAATCCTTGACGGTCAATCTTGATCTGAACAAGGAGCTGGATGTGACAGCCGAGGTCCCACTCTAGAAAACATGTCTCCTTCATGGCCAGGCGTGTAGGTTCAAGCCGCGCACCTGATGCCCTAAACCTGAATAGACGCAGTTGGTGACAAAATAAACCAATATGGTCTGCAAACTCCAGGAAGAGTTGTCAAGACTTGATGGAACCCGCATCTGAGAGTCTTCTGCCAACACGACGTGTGGATAGATCCCAAACAGCAGGTTTAGGGTTTAGGGTTCAGGGTTTAGGGTTTAGGGTTGAGGAATCCCTGGTTGAAGGATCCCACCAACAAAACGACAGAAGAGAACTGCCACAAGAGACCGCGCCAGGATTCGGCCGATCGCCTGGACAAAGGCACAATCAATTTGCACCACGGCTGCAGCCCTAAACCCTGAACCCTAAACCCTCAGGGATCCTTCCTTTCTGAAAACCCTGTGTTGCTGCGAGCCGCAGTGGGCAGAACCAGCATAGTCTAGTCTTCATCTGCACACTTGTCATGGTTCTCGTCGCGGTGTGGGTGCTGATGGTGCCAACAGCAGGAGGAAGACATAGGAAGATTGGTGGCAACAGGGGTACAGAGCACACCACGATTTCTTTAGAGCAACAGCCTACCTGCTTCGTGAACGGACTCATAAGAATTCCTTCCAGGTGTTTCCACATTCAGGCTTGCTCTTCGTTGGTTGATGGCTTCAAGGGCCAGCAGGGTACCTGAGACACATACTGTTGAAGTAGGGCCCCTGATGATTCCGTTATTTCAGCTGTGGCGTTCACCTGAACCCGAAGCCCTGAACCTCACCCTCTCGCACCTTACCCCAAAGAATTTGAGAACAATAGTGCGCTCCAGCATTCTGGACAATACACGTAATGGTTGAAGCTTCATGAAGAGGCTTTGGATTGGTGGGTCTTGTCCTTACCACCCAACGCTCAGAATCATAGATTAAAGCCTTAAACCCTAAGAACCTAAACCCTTAACCCTAAAGCACTAAACCTGAGACCTTACACCCTCGCAAGCCCTCGTCTAGCTTTGGACTTGTTATGTTTTAAACATTTCTCAAGACTTTCTCAAGGTTTCAAAGCTTCGGGGAGTGGGGGTTTAGGTTTTAGGGGTTTAGGGCGGTTGAGGGGTTTAGGCGTGGGGGGGTTCGAGGGTCAGGTGGTCTTGCTTTGGGCTGTTAGGGTCTTTGTGGTTGTTGATTGTTCGGAATTAGAGTCTGGAACAGACTGCTGAGTTCAGGGTGGTGGTGCGGGGTTCGGGTTTTGTTGGGGGGGCCGGGGCATGCAAAGCTGATTTCCTCCTTATCGTCGCGCAGCAAGTATGCTACACTCTACCCCAAAACCCTATTCAAATTTATTGAGGGCCCTACGTTGGGAATCTGAGCTCGATTTCCGATGGGATTGTATGGAATACACGATGCTGTAGCTACATAGGAGTTACGAATGCAGAGCTTGCTTAGGATTCTACATCAGCAGAGTTTCTGTTTCAGGCTGAACACCCAACCTCTATCGCTACAGTTGATTTCTGAGCCTGAAAGGAACAGTTGCGGTAATCTTCTGGTACTTACTACAACAACCAGAATACATTAGTATTGTGCTGTTCGTGTTATTGCTACTACACCTTCTCTGCACAACCTACAAACCAGGGATGATACCCCAGGAGCGCGCTTCACACGATCATCCGCTACCGGAAGGTTTACGAATCGCTGGTTGCCCAGGCACTTTGTGAACGGGGAATATAGGGACCTAAGTAAACACCAACACTGCTCCTTTGGACTCCCTATGCTAGCTATTCAGGCTCCTATAGTTCGTTTAGTTCGGAACTGTGGTGTCGAGTTATAGTAAACCCCATAAAGTTGGAAACCGGATTAAGGACAAACAGTGCTGGAATTCCCTATACATTACTCTTAAGGATTGAGGCTATTGGGTTTCCAACTTTTGGGATTCTACTTTAATTTTTGGTTACAATAATCCCTAAGAAACAGCTAAAATTATAATTTTTGCTAGGGTTCTAAGTTCAGTATAGGTTGATTTCTAGATCTGGGCTTTCGGCCTCAAGCCCACGCGCGAAGCTTGAACTCTAAACTCTAAACCCTAAGCCCTAAACCCTAAACCCTAAACCGCTAAAGGGGACCCTAGTATGTAGTGCAACGGGGGCCCTGTTACAGCCCTAAACCCTAAACCCTAAAGCTGTTCACCCAGAGCTCCCCTGCGTGACTGATCCTTAAACTGAGCAAATCCGCTGTATACTTCAGTGGGCGGCATCGTCTCAAGCCTCATCGTCACCAGTTGTTATCCCTTCTCCGCCTCCACATCATCTTCTTCTTATAATGCTCACCATCGCGATCACCACAGCTTGTGTTTTCGTCGTCATGGGAATCCGCCTGAGTAGGGCGACGATGGTGTTGAGCAGTGCAGCACGAAGATGTCTCTGGTTCCACGATGCAAGAGAGCCGTGATGCACCAGGACCTTGACAGAAGGTACTCAGCAAATCATACTGTTTTGCTTTGGTGTTTTCTGGGTTTAGGACCTTGCGTTTCTCTACAGTGCCGTAGACAGATGCCGGCTACTTTTCCGTTCTGTACAGGATTTACCTTGTTCTCTACAGCAGACAGCAAGTACTTACTCAACAGCAGCTCGTCTAGTAGTGGCCTAGACGATAGATTGTAGATTCTTGAAGGTGGCGGCCAAGCCTACAGCAATACCCGAGAGTCCGGCCCTTGGCATCAGGGTGGCTATGTCGTTTCGTGTCTTTCGGATTGGATCGCTGGTAACTAATCCTCTCGTAATGATGTGTTGGTGTTGACCTGCGTTCTGCTGATACAGTCTTTTCTAACACTTTGGTTAGTTGCATTGTTGCAGTTTTTTACAGTTGCTGCTATAGCTGGCAGGGTGATTGCTACTGCTAGTGCTGCTACGAATATATCATGCCATGTCTGCTATGTCATGTTTTCAGTGCTGATATTGCCGAAGCGCTTAAGATCGTCTAGTCACAGTCAGCCCTAAGCCCCAAACCGTCTCGAGCACATCGAGACATCTTGCGAAACAAAACCCCTCCTCCTCCTCCTCCTCCTCCTCCTCCTCCTCCTCCTCCTCCTCCTCAACCCTCAGCCCGGAAACCCAAAAATCCAGGGTTTCGGGTTTTAGACCCTGCAGCCCTGCACCCGAAAGCTTTAATCCCAAAACTTCAATGTCCACCACCGATGCCCGAAAGTTTCACGAGGCGACGGAAAGCTCAAGCAATTCGACACCGAGTATGAACACTTGCGTGCCTACGTCAAGATGCGTCTCGGCTTGGGGAGTCGAGTCGTAAACTGTACACGTAGACCCTAATATAGGGCCTTGAATACTTACCAATACCAAATTGGGGTTCTTTATTATAATTATGGTGCAATGGGCCCCAACACCCTATTCTAATTATGAAGGCCTCTATGTTAGACCCCAACGCCCTAAACGCCAAACCGAAAGCCTTAAGCCAAACAGAGTAAACCGCCCCTAGCAACACCGGGGTGCCATTAATCCCAACCATGGTAGGTCCACCAGAACCAAACGGAACAGACCACCAAAGGCCGTGAAGCTACAGAGTCTAGTGAACCGACGGCACCGACGGTACGTGCGGCCTGAAACTCAACCTACGGGACACCCCCCAAATCAGCAAAGCCGTTCCAAGCCCGAAGCTCTAAATCCCTAAACCCTAAATCTTCTAGAAGCCTAAATTTTTGTACCCGAAACCCTCCAACAAAACTCCCTGCACGTCCGAAAAAGCAGAAAACCTACAGGACTACAGCTTTCGAAAGGCGAATGTGAGTGCCCGACACTCTGTTCCAGTCGTCTCAGTGTCGGTCGAGCTGGCTACGGCGGACGGCCATGCAAGCCGAAGGGCTCGAGACAATCAACTTCGTGGCATTGAATCTCGCGCTGATCTCCTCCACGCGGCTTATGACGGAACTGTATCTGCTGATCACCTCTGTCCGATATCCGCACTCTAACGTCTTTCTTCCTGCCGATGATGACCCATGGCTGCGCTGCGACCACCGACAAATGCGCCTACGACAGCATAGCCGCGGATGGCAATCGCCGAGGTGTGTGAAGCCCTACTACCCCTGACTTAGAGGGTCTAACCCCTAAAGCAGTAGGTTTTTGGATCCCCAGGTAAACTCTCTGAAACCCTAAACCCTAAACCCTGAACTCTCTGAAACCCTAGCCCAGGTTCTGCTCCAGCGCCGGCATCGAAGCTGCCGACCTACAGAGATTAATCGACGGGTGCCTCGGCCGCCATTGGGGGTACTTAAAGGGTCATGGGACTTAGTAACTAGGGTTATTATTAGGGTAACTATACTTATAACGCCAATTATGGTACTTATGACCTTACTTACTAAGTCCCATGATCCTCCAAGTAAGGGGATTCCGTTCTTTGGGATTATACTTAGGGGTACTTAGATTTGTTTTTAATCTTTGGTGATTATAACCCCTAAGAGACAGCTAAAATAATAGTTTTTGCTAGGGTTCTAAGTTCAGTATAGTTCCGTTCTTTGGGTTTATATAGAGTCATACTGTAGAGTTTACGGTTTGGAGAGTAGGGTACAGTGGTTTTGACTTAGGGTTCAGGGTAGGGCCGGGGTGGGGGGTCGTTTCGGGGGTCTAGGACTTAAGCGTTCCGGTCCAATAGTGCGTCCTAAACCCAGAGCCTCCAAAACCCCATAATTAAGGAACCTACCCTAAATCATATTAGGGACCCTATTATAACTTAAGGTATATTCCTTAATTAAGGGGTTTTAGAGTCCCTTAAACCTTAAACCCTATAGATCCCTTATAGATCCCTTTAAGGAACCCTAGGTATATTCCTTAATTTAGGGGGTTTTGGAAGCTCTGGGAACCCTGGCATGACTTGAGGCTGCGACTGCGAACCTCTGAAGACTGGTCTCCTTGAGAATTGCTGTTTTGGGCAGCCTAGTAGTAAATAGGGGACCCTTAGGGTTCCTTTAAAGGGCTCCTTAAAGGGATCTATAAGGGTTTAGGGTTTAGGGAGTTT